AGACCCTGCTGCGTGGGAGGCATGGCCCCGAAGTCCTGCTGGCCCCCCGTGCCTGGTGGAGATCGAAGGCAGCCTGACAGAGAACATCTGGGCCTTTGCTGGTCTCTCTAGGTAGGAAGGGTCTGGCCTGGCCCGATGCCCAGTCCCCTGGGGTGGGCAGAGAAATGGGAGGACATCTCCAGAGCCCCATGTGTGTACCCCTGAGTGTGGGCAGAGTGCTCCCAGCCTCAGGGACCGCAGGCCAAGGACTTCCCCATCCTGGGCCTTAATTTCCCCAAATTTAAAATATGTAGAAGGGGACCCTCCTCACAGGCCATGGAGAGAGCACATGAGGTGATCAGGAAAGAGTCCTCAGGACTAACTAAGTGTCAGCTCTTTAGACCCCTCCTGATGGGATTTTGAAATTTCTGACAATTAGGGTCTTTTTTATTTTTATTATTTTCATTAAGTTTATGGGTACATTTTAGGTATACAATAAATACAGTTACATTCATCGTTGGGATCTTGTACCTTTACATGATGTATCTTGGTTCTTATTTTTTCCCCCATTTCCCTGCCCTCCTTTCATCCCCTAGGTCTTCTTTATTTTTAATTAAAAAAATCTTTTTTTTTTACTGTACTGGGGATTGAACACAGGGCATTCACACTGAGCTGCATTACCAGCTCTTTTAATTTTTTTAAAATTTGAGACAAGTTGCTAAATTGCCTGGGCTGAGCTCAAATTTGCCATCTTCCTGCCTCAGCCTTCCAGAGTGCTAGATGTGTGCAACCATGCCGGGCCTATAGGTCCCTTCAAGCTCCTAAGAATTTATTGCGCAGCCACCCTCTCCCTAGGTCGGGTGCTGTTGTTGTTGTGATTTTCCCCCCATTAAGTTTATTGGTACATTTAAAGCAAACAACACAGTTACATTCATCGTCGGGACCCTGTACCTGTACGTGATGCGTCTTGGTTCCTATTTTTCCCCACTCCGCTGCCCTCCCTTCACCCCCTCACCCTTCCCTGTTTACAAAGACTTTGCTCCCATGGTTTCCTCTTCTCACGTGTTTGCTTTTCCCTGACTTCCTTTCCCCTCCCCTTCCCACTTCCCCTTTGGCCGTTCCTTCTATTTCACACTCTCAGTTATATAGGTCGGGCCGCTGTTTTTAAGGTCATTTATTTAATCCCAGGCTGCCTCCATGCCTTTGGGCTGTTACATCCCGGCCCAGCCCGCAGTTTGAGGCTGACTCCAGGCTAGAGATCCTAATTTAAGCCTCTGCGGTTGGTGCCCCAGGACCTGTGCCCTGGCCCTGCTTCGGAGGGACGTGGTTGGTGCCTTTCTGCTGTGGTCTGAGCCTGGTACCAGCAGCCAGTGGTGTCTGTCTGTACGAACACGGTGTGGTGTGGTACCCCACCAGGTCTTCCGGAACCACCTGGGCCACTACTGCCTGGAGGTAAGAGCCCGAGAGCCTTGGAGGGAGGGGTCTGGCCCCTACCTGCCGTTGACCCCAGGCTTTGTCCTTCCTGTCCGTCTTCTTGTAAGGGCTGACTTACTGAGCTTGCCTACCCTGCTCCCGTTGGCCTCTCCGGCCTTACCTCTCACCCACCATCCATCCTGCTTCCACTGTCCTGCTCCTTCCTCGCTGGTCCTGGCCCACTGCCCCCCCCCATGCTCTGCTGGTTGCGTCTTGATCTGGAAGCTCATGGAAGACAAGTAGGCTGCCAGGTCTCCTGTTTAGAAGGGGCTTTTGGAGGGAGCCTCAAGTAGAGTCAGGCCTACATGACGCCTTACATTTTTATGAGTTCATCTCTTAAAGGTCTAGGCCGGGCATGGTGGCGCACGCCTATAATCCCAGCACTGGGGAGGCTGAGACAGGAGGATCGCTGTGAGTTCGAGACCAGCCTGGGCTACACAGTGAGTTCCAGGTCAGTCTCACTACATAAGTGAGACCCTGTCTCCAAAAAAAACAACAAACAAAGAAAAAGTCTTGCTTTTTGCACCCCTTAGTGCCGAGACCATTTTTAGCAGAGGAAGAAAGCACTTGAGCTCACATAGCCTGAGTCTCTAGTCAGGCTGAGACTCTGCCCAGGCGAGAGGAGAGAGGAGATGGTGTCTGGCTCAGCCTTGACAGCACATGTGACCTCTCTGAGCTCTGTTTCCTGCTTTTCAAAATGGGGGTGTGGTGAGGGTGGCTGGGGCCCTGGGTGAGCAGTGCGGTGGGCCTAAGGCTGAGAACCCTTCCTCCCCAGCACCTGCCAGCACAGTTCCCCAGCCTGGAGGCCCTAGTGGAGAACCACGCTGGGATAGAGCACAGCCTCTTCTGCCCCCTGGACATGGGCCGCCTGAACCCCATCTACGAGGGGCAGGACTGTGGGCCCGAGAGCAGGCCCCCCCGGAATCTGAGGCCCCTCAGCCACGCCAAGTCTGAGGCAGAGCTGCTGGGCCTGGGTTAGAAAGTGGGTCCTGATCACAGGCCAGCCTGGCCCTGGCTGTAGCCTCGGGAGCTGCTCCGCCCTTCTCACACCCCACCAGCCAGCTACCAGTTCATCGGTCTCTGCCCCCAGACCAGTCTTCCATCGCTTCACTGCCTGCTATGGAGCCGCCCTGAGGTTGGGTGTGTGGCTTGCTGAGATTCTAGGAGGAGCAGGTGGAGCTCCAGGCTTCCTGGAACTTCGGGGTGACTTCAGGGTGATCCTTGTCTTATTGGGTAACTTTGCTCCTTGCGCAGGAGCTTTTCATGGGGAGCTGTGCAACCCCCTTCTGAGAAGGCCAGGCTTTGGGCCCTGACTGAGAGCCTCCAGAGAGCTCCTGATAGGAAACCGGACCCATGTGGGAATGTGAGTCTGCCATCTGGGCTTATTCCCTCTGGCTCTTCACAGGGAGGGGCCAGTGCAGAGCTGCTCACCTAGCAGACCACATTGGTTTGGTAGGTTTGGTGGCTGCCTCGGAAAGCCACCTGATCCTGGTGTTCCCTTTGATATTGGCCTGGCCATGGTGTCAGGGGCCACCTGTCTCATCAGGTCAGTCCCATGGGGATGGGACAGAGCAGAGTCCCCAAAAGTAGAGCCCTGTCAGAGGGAGCTGGCCCTCAGCAGGCAGGGGAGAGCTGGGGAAGCCATTCTAGTGGAAGGAGGTGCCTGAAGGCACCTGATGAATCCATGCATCGCCTTTGTAAATTGCCTCGGCAGATAAATACAAATCTCAGCCAAGTTCATGTCAGATGAAGTTGTATTCCTGAGGTAAAGGCTGGGTTATGAGACCATCCTCTCTGCCGTCAGGGTGTGGGGTGTTCTGATCATTGCCTTGGAAGTGACAAACAGATTGCTGACTCTGGGGAGGGAGAGGGCAGCCCCAACGGGACTGAGGGAAGGCGGACATGCCTGATGTTCCTAGCCGCCACCACCAGGACATGGTCTTGGCTAGAGAATCTGTCACTCTTTTTGGTAGTGGGGGTCAAACACAGGTGACAACTACATCCCCAGCCCCCTGTCACTTTCTTTTGAATCGGGTGCCACAGGGTTACAAGAAATGTCTTTGGGGGGCTGTTTTTACTGGAAATATCGCACTGACTTCATTCTGAATATGAGTGGCCAGCTGGAGCCCACCCTTCCTGGGCTCTGTGAGCTCAGAGATTGCTGATCTCTGGGGGAGGCTCTGGCCTCCCTCTACTGGCAGGGACATGGGTTTGGGAAGTCCTGTACCTAGGATGACAGCACCTGAGACTTCAGGAAGCCTGTCCATTGGCCAGCACTTAGGCCAGGCTCACTCTTAGAGTTGCAGGGCCACTGTGGAATCGCTGTGTGGATATTCAGCCTGTTCACAATCCTCCTTGAGCGGCATTTGTTGATCATGTGTTACAAATAAGGCAAGAGGGCCTGGGATTTAGCTCAGTGGTTCCGGCACCTGCTTTGCAAGCTCAGGGACCTGAGTTTGATCCCTGGTACCAAAAAAACCCCAAACAAACAAAAAACAAATAAGGCAAGGGTGTGGACTCCCCATGTCTTAATGACAGACCACAGTTTTGTCTTTGTTCCAACTAGCACCACCTAGGGAGCCCAACTTTCCTCACTGTGTGGACTGTGAGACAAATAAAATGCATTTCTTCAGAATGTTGAGTGCAGACTTTTCCTTGAAAGGCATGGTCTTTATCCAGTTTGCTGGTGTGGCATTTGTTTACTAAACATAAAACATACCCTCACTCCTCTGGTGAACCAGGTGGATGAAATTGTATTCCTGGGGGCTGATAATGTCCTGAAGTGCTATGGAAGGACCTGGTAAGTGATGCACACAGAGATGCAGAAGAGAAATAAAATAACAAGGTTTATTTTGTCTACAAAAGGCCAATCGCACTAAGAGCAGTGCCAGTGATCAACCCTGTACTGGGTTACAGCTTCTTTTATAGGGTTTTACAGCCATGTTTTCATTCAGGTGGTTACATTTCAATCCTCAGTTTACTTTACTGATGTATAAATCACGGTCACAAGACAGTAAACTTTTAACCCAGACATAGCAATTCTTTATAGTTAGGGAGTTTACCTTTAGGATTCATCTAGCTATCTGTTCTATCCCACAGGAAGGGGGTGTTCAGGATCAGGAAAGCGAAGTTAAACAATGGTTCTTTTCATCTTGACACTTTTACAATCGTGTGGTTTACAAAAACTCGGAACTTGGGGTCTCAGTGTGCCCTGTTACCTCAGGATGAGGCCAAATGTCCCATTCTTTGGTTAATGCCTCTGGTGTCTGCTAATTTTGAACAAAACAAAGCAGATTGCTGTTAGAGGCAGCAGAGGTAATTCTACATTTTCCTAACATAGGTTTTGGATTATTTATAAAAGTTCTATCAGAAGGAATTGGATAGATTATATCAAATCCTATCCCTCTACTGCTTTAAGCCTGCACTGGGTATCTCCTATCGGAAAAAGATTCAAGACTGTGTGCTCTGGCAACTTGGGCTTGCTTTCTGCCTGTGCAACATGCCACAGGACCTTTGCACAGCCCAGGCACAACTCATCATCCTCCCCTTAGCCTGGTTAACTCCTCAGCTGTCATAGTGCAGCTCTAGTCAATCTCAGGATACCTGTACTGACTGCCTAGCCAGTGGTGGCCAAACCTATGACATTCATGCTGCAGCAGGCTGATTGTTAATCATTGAAAGCTCTAAATGGTTTGTCATCACTTGGCCTAGACCCAGGTTGCCTTTTTAGATGTTCTACAGAACTGGTTCTTTAGTTTGTACTTTTTTCTTTTATTGGACTCTCTAGGAATTTTTTTTTCCAGACCCAGGGATCAAACACATGACCTTGCACTTGCCAGGTAGGCATGGCACCACTTGAGCTAAATCCCCAGCCCACTAGGATTTTTGTTTTCAACATCAGTCCTCCTGCTAGACGATGGACTTGGGGAGGGCTGTCCTCTCAGAATCTGTCACAGTGCCTGGTGTGTTTCTACACAGAGAGGATTGATTTTAGAAGTGTGAGAGCTGCTCTTGTAGCTGGGGGATGTGCCTTTCCATCCAAAAGACTTTGGCTTCTAAAGTTTGTGGTGTGTTTGTTTGGTACCAGAGCTCCAACTCAGGCCCTTGCACTTGCAAGGCAGGTGAGGTGCCACTGAGCTAAATCCCCTAAAATATGCGTTTTAAGATACCTGCCCCCCCATCCTGGGGATCCAACCCAGGGGTGCTCCACCACTGAGCTACATTCCCCTTTTTATTTTGATAAGTATTTATGTTGCTCAGGCTGACCTCACACTTACGATCTTTTTGTCTCGGTCTAAAATATTAAGGTTCTTACAGCTGGGCGTGATGGTGTACACCCGTAATCCCAGCAATTCGTGGGCTGAAGCAGGAGTATCACCATGAGTTCGAGGCCAGACTGAACTATATAGCAAGACCCTGTTTCAAAAAAACAAACGCAATAAGAGCTCGGGATTTAGCTCAGTGGTGCCGCCTGCCCTAGAAGCACAAGGTCCTGTGTTTGATCCCCGGTATAAAATAAACAAGGACAAACAAACACAAAAACTCACAATCAATCAATCTTAAGGGTCAGGATAAAGGAGACTGGCATTAATTGTCCAGGTCGCTGTGGGCTGTGCACAGCCTTCCCTGAATCTACAGGGAGAAGCTCAAGGCCCTTGTCGCTCTTTGTATGCTTCTAACTTCGCAGGAGACCTCCCCTCCTGGTTTCTCCTTCAAGGTTCAGCGTGGACTCCCCAGCTGAGCCAGATGGGCAGACTGCAAAATTGCTGAGCTCTGAGCTGGGGAGTGGAGCCTGCTCTCTTGGATCTTCAGCCTCGCAGTGGGATAGCGCGTCCTACGTTCTAGGAGCAGCTCTGTGACGCCTAGTGCGTTGCCTGGTAACGGCGAAAGCCGCGACAGAGTGCGCTTGCGAACTGACGGTCCGGCGGCTCGGGGCTCAGGTCCTGCGGTGGCGGCCGTGCAGCGGACCCCCACT